ACAGACACCTGTTGAGCGGAGAGAATGAATCAGATTCCATATGCTTCGGTAATTGGATTGATCATGTATGCCATGATATGTACTAGGCTTGATGTATCGTACGCCTTAAGTGCTATAAGCCGATACCAATCAGACGTAGGAGAGGCGCATTGGATTGCGGCTAAGAATATCCTAAAGTCCCTAAAAAGGAACAAGGATAAATTCCTGGTCTATGGTGGCCATGAAGAGTTGATTGTTGAAGGTTACACCGACGCTAGCTTCTAGACTGACAGAGACGACTTCAAGTCACAGTCAGGGTACATATTTTGCCTTAATGGAGGAGCGTTTAGTTGGAAGAGTGCCAAGCAAAGCACCACTGCAGATTCTACAACTGAAGCTGAATACTTGGCAGCTTCGGAAGCCGCTAAGGAGGCAGTTTGGATTCGTAAGTTCGTCAGAGAACTTGGTGTTGTACCCTCCCTCAAGGGTCCAATAGATCTCTATTGTGACAACAATGGAGCTATTGCTCAGGCCAGAGAGCCAAGAGAGCACCAGAAGGTTAAACATGTCCAAAGACGATTTCACATGATATGGGAATGGAAATCCGAAGGTGAAATCAGAATTTGTAAGAACGGGACGGATGACAATGTGGCCGATCCTTTGACTAAACCTCTGCCTCAAGTGAAGCACAACAAGCATGTTGAGGCAATGGGAATCAAGCACGTTGGAGATTGGCTTTGAATTCCCTATACATGTGTTTTAATTAAACTAGATGTCTTAATGTAAAACACCATGTAATAACCATTCATTTTCGGAGTAATCTCTTTTTTTGCAAAATTACTATTCACTCCATTGCTATTTAATTGTGGTTTAGAATTATATAATGAGTCCATTCGATTTATGAGAATATTCAAAACACGGTATCAAGACCATGTCTTGGATAAAAAAAAACACTTGTTAAGTGAACATTGAATATCTAAATCGAAAATTATCCCTAATCAAGATCATTTAACTGATGGACGATCAATGACCATTGGAGATTAGTATGTAGTATGATTTACAACACCGTTTCTTGTGCTGCAAGGACACAATAGTCATAAATCATTTGCACAGGTGCTAGTTTGGAACTACACCAGATCGACCTGTGAGAGTACTTTAAGAGATCCAAAAACGTCATAAGTACATTTCTCATTATAGCTATCAGAACCTGTTTCCTCAAACCACGAGTATTGTGAAGTTCTCTTGTTTGAGTACTAGTCTCTTTGATGTTGTCAAACGTCTGCCGTAATTGGGGACTATAATGGGAAAACTCGGGAGATTAGGTCCTCTTAGTGAGGGAGGCTTACAGTACAAGACTAGGAATGTCCCCCAACTAACAATAGGGAATATTTTGTTGTTTACAAGACTGCTAGAAGAGTGAGACTGTGAAAATGCATGGCTGTGCTCAGATGGATTCTAGAAATCATCTGCTTATTGACAGTCGAACTCGGAGATCGAGAAATACTTTTGAACGTAATAAGGATGACGAAGATTCTTACCTTATAGTTCATGAAGAGACATTAAGCGACATAGGAAGGACAAGTGGGAGATTGAAAGGAATGGTGTCCTTCCAACAAGTGTATTATTCTGATAGAGGGTTCAGAATTATCAGGAAGCTAATTCTTCAGTGAGATCAAGTGATCGGTATGCCTGGGTGAACAATTAATATTACAGCTTTGTCTTGATTGAACCCTTCGGGTCAAACCCAAACGAACTGTCGATCCGAACCGACGAATCAATCCGAAGGATTTGATGAGTCACTAGAGTATTACGAACACAGACGTCGGATATCGAGCCTAGGGCGTCAAGACCGAGCGTCGCAAAATCAACAAGGAACAAGTTCGAGCAAAGCCGTAGCATCACATTGGCCTAGCCATGTGGTTGCTAGGCTAGCTCGAGCTAGCATGCCATGCGTACTAGGCGCTAGTGCCCAACTGCCATCGCAAGGCTAGGCCTTGCTAGCACTGGCGCACAGCAAGCCCAACACGCATCGCAAGGCTAGGCCTTGCTAGCATGCTAGGCGCTGGCGCACGGCAAGCCCAACAAGCATCGCAAGGCTAGGCCTTGCTTTCTTTCTAGGAGCTAGCAGCCCAACAACGCATAGCACTGGCTTGCATAGCATCCTAGCTTGCTAGGCGCCTCACATGGAAGCACGCCACGCACCAGCCAACAAGCTCGCTGGGCTGTGCGTGTGTGCGCTTGCGTATGCCTTCGCATGGCAGCACCAAGCACAGCAGCGAGCTAGGGGCCTCGCCTAACAGCAGCAGCATGCGTGGCTCGGTAGGAGCACGTATGCGATGGCTGGGTTGAGCGTGCTTGCTGTGCTGTGCTGGCTGGCAGGCTGCCTAGCCTTGGTGCCAGGCGCTAGCTGGCAGCCTTGGCAGCTAAGGCAGGCTGCCAGCTTGCCTATGCCTTGATGCCGGTTTGGAGTTGTGGGAACCAAAGCTTGGAGCCATCCCTTGGGGAGCAAGGCAATGGTCCCCCCCTTGGTGATGGTCCTCACCTAATCACTAATTCTCCATGTGCCACTTGTTGATTGTTGATTGCATTATCTTTTAATTTATTTTTGATTTAAATAAATTAGTTAGAAATGCAGGATATCCCACATTGATCATGAATGGGAGTGCAAGTTGCATTTCCCTATAAATACCCCATGATTGGGCATTTGGAAATCAACTTGAGTGGAACTCAAAAAGGCATCTCTAATTATTGAGAAAACCTTAAAGTTCGTAAAACTCTAGTTTTATCTTTGGTCAAGTCTTGACTAACCCTCAAGACGAAGACCGTTTGGGTCGGGTCGTGGGTACGAGGCGTTGGAGGTCGTCACGCTTGTGAGGCTTTAAGCTTAGAAGTAATAGCTCGGTTCTCGAGCGAAGCACGCTTCAAGGGTATTACTTCTTTCTCCCTTCTCTTAATTATTGTTTAATTATGTTTATGCATGCTTTAATTATTGGGGCGAGTCTTGGGGGGTTTCTGTTCCGCATAGAGACGGTCTCTACGAAACCCTACAGGTGGTTGAGGCGTGGGTAAACGGGGATAATGGGGGTGGGCTTAGGACAGGGCTCTCATCGCCAAGGAAAGGCGGATGAGAAGGCATGGGAGGTGGTGGCCGGAGGAGATTCAGTTCAGACGAGGATTGAGAAATTTATGGTTGAGGTTGAAGATGAAGAACATGGAGTTAATGTTTCAATTTCCAGAACAATTTGATGGAAGTTGAAGATGGGTGAGTTTAGATTCTCAGTTTAGATGGGTAATTGAGGAAATGAATATTGGAGAGAAATGTTAGATTAATTAAGTTAAATTAAGATCTTAACAAAATGTGTTGTAGTTATCTAAATCAGTTTACAAAAGATTAAGTAAGGGTATTGAAGTAATTTTATTGAAAAAAATTTAATACAATTGGAAAGTTTTAGAAAGTTGCACATAATTTGTAGCGAATAAAAATGGCAAAAGTTGCACATAATGTGTAACAGAGGTAGTAGAAAAAATTCGAAAAGGTTAAATATATTTAGTAAAAGTTGCAGATATATACAGAGGTAGTATATTTTTAAAGTATCATATTTTTAACTATATTTTCGTTATAAATGCAACATATTTCGTAGTTACAAACTTTTATGGAGAAGATTAGAGCAATTAAGTGGACATAATTAAAATAACTTGAACATCGGTAAAACATTGAGGAAATATGTTTGAAATATTAGGGGTGTTCAAATAGCCAATTCAGATTTTAAAAAATGAATAGGACCGGGCTAAAGAAAACCAATCTAGTTTACTAGTCGAGAATGATAAAATCGATTTTGGTCCAGTTTTGTCCAAAATCTTTTAAAAACTAGTCTTCGAGCGGAGCAATATTTTAGTTTAAATTCTATATAAAACTTCTTTGATTTTTAATTTCACCTTCAATATTCTGTAAATATTTTTATATTATGAGCGATTTTATGAAAAATGTTTAAAATAGGCATTAAAAATTCGTTTTTATTTTTCTTGATGTATTAAAAATTAATAAACAATAGAGATTTTTTTAATTTTTTTTTTAAAAAAAACTAGTCCAAATTAGTTTGGTCCGGTCGAAGCAATAAGAATCTGGTCCAAGTAACAACAATCTGGTCTTCGAGCCTTGAATTTTAAATTTTCGGTGTTCGGTCTGGTCCGGTCTTGGTTTGGTCAATAGCGTTAGAAAGTATTAACATTTTTTTTTTTTAAAAAAAAGCTTAATTTGCACAATATATACATAAAAAATTAATAGTTTCAACCACAAATTAAAACAAATCCAACTACTAGGGCCAATAACAACCCTTACAACTTTCAAACCAACTTAAATATAGGCCATTAAGCTCTAAAGGTAGTAAGTGTTGAGAACAATTCTCAGTGTAACTTAGAAAAAGAGGGGAAACGAAAGTGAGCTCCACTTGGACGGAAAAATGGATGGCACCCGTTAACTAGTGATAAATCCAAAATATATAGCAAATGTTAGGCAGTAAATAATAGCTTATGATCGATTATCAAACGAGCTTTTAGTATTACTTCCTTACTAAAGGTGTCAAAAATAGACCCGATCGATTTGACTCAAAATTAATCTGAACAAAATTTAATTCAAAAAATTAACTTGATAATTTAGCATAACTCAAATATAAAATAGATTCAATCTAATCCAATATTACCGAACCCAACCTACATACCCTAATTAACACCTCTATCCCTCGCCCCAAAAGTACAAAACAACCCCCCAAAACAGAGAAAAAGAGCCATACTGTCCTACAACCCCACATAAAAAGTTCACTACTTTTCCCAACACTTTGAAAATCACAATGAAAAGGAAAAATACCACATCTTTAATCTTTTATTATGTAAAAATTGTAAACGCGCCAGTTTGAATTTGCTGACTTGGGACCCACTTCCCATAGCAAAAACCGAACTTTACACCTAGCCGTTAAAAGTTGCAACTTTGAAACTCCCCCCTTCTCTCTGTATCTCATCATTCTCAAAACGCTCACTAAAGTAAAACAAATTACATCAAGTCACTAACACAATTAATTCTACAGTTTTCCCCAAATCCCTTTTCAAATTTACTATAATTTGATTGATTTGATAATCCAGATTCTTATAAATTTGTTTACTGCATTTGGTTTTCTCAATTAGGAGTAAACACAAAAAAAAGATGGTGTCAATGACGCCTGATCAGTTTAAGAAATTGAGTTTAGGGGTGATTCCATCTGCATCACCGTCTCCGTTCTTCACGCCTCGGCCCGAACGATACCGGATGGATTATTCTAGAGTCAGTGATGTTAAGTCGTCTATGGGTTATCATCGCCAAGATAAAGATCGTGAGGTTAATGTGCAGGTTATTCTAAGATGCAGGTAACAAATTTAGCTTGTTGGATATTCGTTACGGGTTATAATCATATGTCTTAATTTGTGTCTCAAATCACTTCTTGTCGTTTTATACGGTGTTGATAGAAAAGTGTGTGACTAATTTAAATTAAATTTATTTATAATTCACTATGTCACTTACAATTATAGACGAAGTATGACATTGTTTTTGTAACTATTTGTTTAAGTACTTGAAATACTCCTTTGTATCTAAATTAATAGGTCACTTACAATTATATACGAAGTGTTAGGTTGCAAGTGTGATTTGTTGTCCGACATAGTAAAATTAAATAAAGAATCACTACTTTATAATCTAAGTGAGCTACTCTGCTTCTTGTCTATCTCCCGATTCCTAACAAAGGCATCAGAGCCGTTGGTTAGAGGTTCTTGTCTACATCCCAGTTTCCTTCATACAAGTTTCTTACTGGGAGTGCTCTGAGGGTTTGGGTGCATGGTTTCTGCTCAGGGGTGGTTTGGGTGCATGGTTTCCGCTCAAGGGGGAGTGTTCCGAACTCACACTTAAGGGGGAGATTGTTAGGTTGCATGTGTGAGTTGTTGTCCCATGTAGAATAATTAAATAAGGAGCCACTAGTTTATAACCTAAGTGAGATACTCCTATTACCATATGGTTTTAGCATAGAACCTCACTTGGGCTTATGTGTGGGCTTTTCTCTCCTCTTTGTCTCTCACCCAATTCCTAACACGAAGTATGACATTGTTTTTGTAATTATCTGTTTAAGTACTTGAACTAGTTCTTTGTACCTAAATTAGTAGGCCACATTTAAAAGTCTAAAACAAAGATTTTACAAACTTTACATTAAATTATGATGGGGAAAACAGTAATTTTGATTTATTTTGAAACAAATATTGGTTTGGTTTATAGAATTATAACATCTACTGTTAAATTGAGATAAAAATTGATGGTAATGTTAATGTAGTTTGACCACAAAAGTAAAATTCGAACCATTTTGTATGATGAAAACAAACATTGATTTCATAGGCATTCGAAATGTGACAAATTATATTTAGACAAAAAATGGTATGAGAAAGAATCTGTGTAGTTTAATGTATTTTAGAAAGATAGTACTCCATAATAATATTTTAAATGTCAAAAAAAAAAAAAAGAAAAAAAAAAAAATTGATTTTCACTTTTCATAGACTATTAATTTGCATAATCTAATTGAATGTGTTCTCTTGTTTATATTCATCGAAAAATCAGTAATATCACACTCATTTAGCGCTTAAAATATCAGGGATGGAAATTTAAGCATGCTTTGTATAAATTTTATATGTCCTTAGGAAGTGTATAATTTCTGTCACTCAATTATGGTGGCTAAATTTTGACTATTGTGATTTGTGAATGACTGGATGGGTGGTGGAGTGGTGGTTTTGTGCTTGTAGTGAGCACGATAGCTGTTATATATAAGGTGTTAAAGTGCTCATTAGGCTCAAAGCTTTCGAGCAAATACTAGCTCTTCATGTCAGTAAAACTATTTGTTATATGTACACAACGTGATTTGTTGGGAGCAAAGCATTGATATACGTTTTGGTACAGGCCATTGAGCAACGATGAGCAAAGCAGTAACCCATCAAGAGTGGTAACATGTAATGAACTTAAAAGAGAAGTCACTATTTCACACAGTGTAGCTAATAAGCAAATGGATAGACTTTTCACATTTGATAAGGTAAGCTATATGCATCTTATTGAATTATGGTTATTTGGTTTATAAACTTGTATACGTTCTTAGTTTCTTACTATATTATGTAATTCATCAAGGTTTTTGGACCCAAAGCACAACAAAGAATCATTTATGACCAAGCTATCGCGCCCATTGTTAGAGAAGTCCTTGATGGTTACAATTGCACAATATTTGCTTATGGTCAAACCGGGACTGGCAAAACTTATACCATGGAAGGATCAATGAAATCTAAGGTAAAATATTGAACTACACCTAATAATCTGAGGTAGAGAAGATAATTTATAGAGCCTGTAAATTTGTTATGTGCTGAAACCTTGAATGATACATTTTTAGGGCACTGAAGTGTGTGCTGAGGCTGGTGTCATCCCACGAGCAGTTCGACATCTATTTGACATACTAGAAGCTCAGAATGCTGACTACAGTATGAAGGTGTCATTTTTAGAACTGTATAATGAAGAATTAACAGATTTATTAACTCATGAAGATAACTCAAGGTTCTCAGAAGATAAGCAAAAGAAATCTGTCTCCTTGATGGAAGACGGAAGGGGTTGTGTTATCATTAGAGGCCTTGAAGAAGAAGTCGTGTACAGTGCTAACGACATTTATAACCTTATGGAACGAGGAGCTGCTAAAAGGCGAACAGCAGACACATTACTGAACAAGCGTAGCAGGTGAGTATGTATTTTCCAATTTGTTACCTTCTTGCATTTGAAGTAATTATGGTGGTAACTCAAAACTACTTTTGCAGTCGCTCTCATTCTGTCTTCACCATAGCGGTACATGTAAAGGACATAAGTATTGGAGAGGAGGAGCTCATAAAATGTGGGAAGCTAAACCTTGTTGATCTTGCAGGATCTGAGAATATCTCTCGTTCTGGTGTAAGAGAGGTATTCATTAATAGTTTGCCCTGGGCAGAAAAAAAGATAATGATTTGGATCATTGTTTGGCCCTTAATTATTAACACATAAAGGCGACATAAATCGTTCAAACTTCTTTTGGTTTCTTCTTGTTGGTTATTTGTTAATCATAAATTCCAGTTTTATAAAAGGAAAATTTGTAAAAAAAAAATCTTTTAAATGCACCATTTTGCGAAAAAAAAACCTTTTAAAAGCTTTTTTGTAAAAGAAAACCCGAAGTTCAATTTTTTTTGCGAAAAGAAACCCATTTCCTTAATTAGACTCTAATTAACTTAATTAGACTCTAATTAACTTAATTAGACTCTAATTTCTTCTCATTTCATCTAATTAACCCGTAACCCACCAAATTAGAATTAATTAATATATAAACAACCTTCTTCCTCCCTTTCCCCCTCCCATGGCGCCACCCCTTCTTTCTCCCTTTCCCCCTCCCATGGCAGCCTTCCTCTTCTTCCTCCCTTTCCCCCTCCCATGGCGCCACCCCTTCTTCCTCCCTTTCCCCCTCCCATGGCAGCCTTCCCCTTCTTCCTCCCTTTCCCCCTTCCCTAAACCCTAACCCCGACCATCCACCTTCTCCCTTACCACAACGCGGCGGCGACTGCGAGAAAGAGGAGAGAGAGTGAGTCAACGAGAGAAAAGGAAGAGGGAGAAGAAGCGTGCCACCTGACCGAGGTGGGTCGTCGGGAGTTGGGGTTCAAGGAGCTGGCTCAGTTCGGGGGAGGGGACTGCTGCCATGGGGGGGGGGGAAGGGAGGGAGTGGCTGGTGGGGTGGTGGTGTTTGGTTTTTTATTTATTTTTTATTTATAAGTTAAATTAATTAATAAATGGTTAAGTGAGATTTAGAGGATAATTAGAAGAAATTAGAGCTTAATTAAGTGAATTAGAGGCATTAGGTTGTCTATAACAAAAAAAATTCACATTTGGGTTTCTTTTCGCAAAAAATTGAACTTCGAGTTTTCTTTTACAAAAAAAGCTTTTAAAAGGTTTTTTTTTCGCAAAATGGTGCATTTAAAAGGTTTTTTTTGACAAATTTTCCTTTACAAAATGGAGATCATATAATAGTAAATTCTAATTGTAATGAAAATGTAGGGGCGTGCAAGGGAAGCTGGGGAGATTAACAAGAGCTTACTCACCCTTGGAAGAGTTATTAATGCGCTAGTGGAACATTCAGCTCATATACCTTACAGGTTCGGACTGGTGTACTTGCAGAAGAAACTCAGATAAGCATTTTGTTTTACAATTGTTCTTTGTTTTTCTTACATTAATCAGGGACAGTAAGCTGACAAGGTTATTGAGAGACTCACTCGGAGGGAAAACAAAGACGTGCATCATAGCAACAATCTCACCATCTAGCAGCTGTTTAGAAGAAACACTTAGTACTCTTGATTATGCTTATCGTGCTAAAAATATTAAAAACAAACCTGAGGTTATATGGCTTTCTTACCTCAGAATTGATATTAGTATAGTTTTATTATGTGAAATCTAAGAATTTTGCGAACATGTAATGATTTTAAACCAATCAGGCAAACAAAAAGCTGTGCAAGACAGTTTTGCTCAAAGATTTATACATGGAACTTGAGAGGATGAAACAAGGTTTCTGAAATGTATTTATGTCCTTTTAATGTCTTGAGAAAAAAAAAAGCAACAAAATCCTTTCGTTTACTGACTAATTTGATATATATTTTTTTCAATGAATTTGTAAACAGATATTCGGGTTGCTAGAGATAAAAATGGTGTTTATGTACCGCTGGAAAGATTTGTCCAAGATGAAGCAGAAAAGAAGGTTGATAATTATTTCACTATCAGAAGAATGCCTATATCACCTTGTTGAATAACAGAATAAGTGATAAACAAAGAATCTTTGAATTAAAAACAAAATGATAAGATCACTTGCATTTGGAGTATATATGTATAAGCTGGAATTTTTACATTGTAATTACTAGACTAATCAAGCTGTCAACTCAGGGATTAATCTCTCTAAATTGATTAGTCATAATTTAGTTATCGATCTTAGTGATTGGGAAATAATTAAGTCATCGATCTTAGCTTCATATCCCTGCTTAATGTTTCTTGGGTCTTGCATTATTTTAATTAGGGAAGGATTGAGAAGATAGAGCAGTTGAAGATGGAGCTCGAACAAAGTAGAAAGGTAAAGTTTTGTTTTCTGTTCTTCCTTTCCTTACTGGAATGACATGACATATTATCTACCTATTTGTATCTTTTATTCTTCCAGGAAGTTCAAAAATACCATGACTTGTATGTTTCTGAGCAAGAAGAGAAATTGGATTTAGATGTTGAGCTCCGAGATTGCAAGGTATCTTATCACTGCCCTGAAAAGCTTCGAGGAAAGGAATTGATATTGGTTCAAAATCTCTTACTCATGCACTAAACTTTAGCACTAATTATAAACTAGGTCTGCCCAATGAAGCCTGTTCTTCTAAGAAAAATAATCAAAAAAATAACCGAAGAAGATTAAATAAGTCCTGAAGCAAAGTAAGACATAAAGATATTAATCTAAGCTTTTTAGGGATTGCATAGGTGAAAGATAAAGGCTTAATTGGATACAGAAACAAATGCAACTACACTGAAAAATTTGTTGTGTTGAATAATGGTTTATTAAGTTTATACAGACAGCACCAAATATACTCTTCATTAGGCATGATTCCACATTCTACCACATTTAACCACCCCTAGTTAGCGAAACAGGAAACTAAGAACTCTAAAAATACTCTGCCAATACCATCTGAAATGAATCAATTCCTTAAGTTCCTAAGTAACATATCAAGGAAACACATAAGTATTGCAAAGAATATACACTACAGGTACATCAAAATAGTCAAACAACTTGATGTTAACAACACTGCCTTGCTCCTGTGAATTACCAGCTTGCTTCAAATATAATCCTTTTTAAACTACATTTTAGCCACTTCTAGGGGATTTGTTACATGAAATATTTTAGCCTCTTCAAATTTTCTGATTTTATGCATTACATCTTAATGTTTTCTGCACTTGAAGTTTCAAGCCAGCATTTATCACAGCTACTCAATTCCTAGCTGACATCAACAAAGCTTTTTTGACTATCAATCAACTATGTAGCTAATTATGCACTGAAACTATATGAGGTAACCACAACTGTTTTTAGTCACGGGTCTTAAATTTATATCAGAAAGAAACTCAGGTTATGGATTGTACAGTATGCGCACATTGTAGGATGTAGGGAGTATAAGAATATGCAATATTCAAGTGCAACAAGCATTCTCAGTTACTAATATTAATGTTATTTGTATGGATAACAGTTTCTCTGTCGAACAAGAACAAATGGTAGTGCATACGCTTTTCATAGAAGGGGAATTTTTTCATCAATACATATTGAACTTGGTTTGATTTTAGAGCTATTTTGAGTGCAGAAAAATCTAGAGAGTACCTGTAAGGTCTTGCACGAACTTCAAGAGAAACAGAAGTTGTCCATCACCCAGTTACAGGAAAAAGACTCTATGATATCCAAACTTATGTACTCAGGTAAATTAATGAAGATGTTGTCAGTTTATTTCTTGACAGATATGCACATTGGCCATCATACAATTCTCACATCAATTTGAAAAACCAGAAAATTCTCTAATTCAACGTGCAAAGGAGCTGTGTTGCACTTTGGGAAATGCATCTGAAGACATATCGATATTGCACAAAAAAATAGGTAAGACTAGTTGTATTTCTAGCATTTGGGGAAAATATGCTACTACTGGACCAAATTGCAGAAGTGCAACAATGTTTTTTCTATTTTTGTTGAAGGCAGATAGGTATTTATTAGTGCAGTAAACTAACAAGGTCATTTTTTGGATTGGTTTTACAGATGACAAAAACAAATTGGAAAATCAAAATCATAAGCTAGTTGTTACATTTGGTTCTCAGCTTGATAAGAACTTAAAAATCCTGCACCAAACGATATCAGGATCGATTTCAATGCAGCAGGATCAACTGCGATGCATGGAAGAGAACTTGTGCTCAATTCTTGCCAGCAAAGATGATGTGAGAATTCTATTCGGGTACTGATAAAATGCTTCTTATTTGGATAAGGTTTAATTGAGTTTCTTTAAATAATCTAGGCAACAAAGAACTTACAATCAACTGTTCAGAAATTAGTAGATGTACATACTTCTACAATGACATCTTTGAGGGAGTTAAATAGCACACAACAAAGAACAGCTACGGCAGATCTGGAGTATGTAAATTCCAGTATATCTAGTCAAACTGTAGATATGGAAAAGGTATGGCTTCAACCTCAAAATCAAAGGATAGAGGAGCCTTTAAACTAATTACAAGTTTGATCAATTATCTGATCATATTGTTTATGAATGTTTTAAAATGCAGTTATTCAATTCATTCATCATCGACGCTAAGGATGTAATTTACTACATCGAGTGTTCCCTTTCTAAGCAAAAGGAGCTGTTCCTTTACTCTTCTCAGCAACAAGAACAGGTAATGTATATGATTCTAAATCTATCCTCTAATTTCGAGTATGCATCATGTATTTGCTTATTCACTTGGTTGTCCTATTATAATTTCAGGGACTACAAAAGACATTGGTTTCAGCTCAAGAGATCAACAAAGCAACTGTAGCATTTTTTGATGAGATCTGCAGTCATGCATCCGAACTCATAAGTAGTCTTGAAGAAAGCCAAGCCAGAAATCATAACTATCTCAAAAAGTTTGAAAAAGTATTTGAGGTAGACTTACTTATTGGATCCTTTATATTTTCAGTTGAAGTTATTCCAATGTTTCACTAATGTGGTTGTTAAACAGGAACAATCAGCAAAAGAGGAGCAGCAGGCCATTGAAAAAATAGTATCTGCACTGGCGACATTAAGAACTAACAAAGCAGCTTTGGTGAGTGTGGCCTATATCTTCTCATCTTTTACCTATTGAAGTTCTTTTGACATTAAATTAATTGTATTCATATTTGTTATACTTTGGTAAGGTTTCACAAGAGTTGAGAAACATTTATGAATCTGGACTAGAAGATAGTATGGAAAGCCAGAAAAACTTGTCCAGAATTCAGCAAGCTTCTGTAGCTGCAAAGAATGCTTTAAATGGACATGTGGAAAATGTTGAAGGGCATGTATTGACAGACTTGTTCTTGTTGACGGAGATTAATGAGTCTATGAAGGAACAGATAGAGCAGTGGTACATATCTAAATTCTCATTCTCATGGCTGCTATGCCTTTTCGTGTCATCTTGTCCCCCATTGTTAGGTTCTACCATGGTGTTTCCAGCCCAATGTGGCGTATAGTAAACTGTGATAATTGATCTATCACCCTCTTGATTGCTTATCCTGGTTTTGCAGTTCATACCAGGTTAATAACTCAAGAGAGCAGTGGAAAGGAGCTGCACATTCTATCAAAAAACTTAATGATGATGTAAAATTAAGAATACAGTCTACCATTAAGTAAGCATATCTCAATCATTACTCTTTCTCTATTTGACAAGGCATTAAGCTTCTTTGTACGCATCTAACAAGCATTTGTTACAGCGAAAGGATCTGTCAAAATGAAATCGCACAGAGCCAGTATATCACTACATCATCCGCGAAGAATGCTGAATTTGATGCTATTGTTTCTAGCTTGCTTTTCAAACTTAAGGGTATTCTTTTCTTAATGCAATTCAATTTTTTCTATTATTTGTTTATGTGTTTAGCATTCACTCTGATCAATGATTGAAACAGAAGCTAAAAACATTACCCTTGCAGATACTCATACGTTAGACAGTGAAATGAAAGGCAAGATGAATGCCTTATCAGATCAGTGCATCAATCTGCTTGCTTCTGTTCAAACTGAGCATAACAAAAGTCTCTCAACTATTCAGAACAAATTGGCATCGAGCCTTTTTAAAGATTACATGGTACACTCCCTTATGCTTATGTTCATACTACAACAACACGCTATATAAATATATAGGATGGACAAAATCATTGATTTGTTTCTGCTATGAACAGGTCGATGAGGAGGCATCTTTTGAGAAAAGAGTCGTAGAAGTGCCAAGTTTGGCATCCATAGAGGGACTGAGAACTCCAGCAATTGCTAAATTACATGCAGACATCAATGCAGGGGAAAGATCAGAAATATGTGTGGTCGAAACCAAGACCCTGCAACCACTTAATTATACAACAGAATGGCCTAGCAGGGCTCCCTTTGCAAACATCAACTGAGGTGTTAGTATCACCAGTTATTAATAAACAGGAGAAAATAAACCTGAAGTTGTAAATGAGTTCTCTTAGAAAACAATCTCATCTTCTGATGAGCCTAGCAAATAACCAATTTTTTAGTTGCTTCACTTTAACCCTTTTTTAGTTACTTTTTTATTTTTGATTTTTGTAAGCAAGCTTTTCCTTTTTAACTTACACATTTGCCATCACTCAACTTTGACCATTAAAATTATTAACTATCATTGAAAATAGATTTTAGAGGATTAATATTTAATAAAAAAATGCATAAACTAATCAACTAACAATTCATATGATAGTATTTTTTTTCCCATACAATAGTAAATTAGTAAATGTATTTAAAGTTCCCCTCCCCCTCTTACATTTAGGGTACAAAGTACAATGTCGCGGATCCCTGGTGAAACTCTTTTTTGGAGTCTATACTACAAAATGACGTATTCTTTGACCATCATCCATTGGTTCTATTGTAATTATGAAATACTAACTAGCTTTTGAAAAAAAAAAAAAAAAAAGGATAGTTTCAAAAGTTTCTATTGTGATTATGAGACACTAGCAAGCTATTTATCAAAACCTAGTTGATATAAGCCTTGAACCAATGGTGTGAAGCTCAAACTTCTTAATCAAAGGGGCAATCAATCTCATGGCAGTGTCACTAACGTATGGGGTGTCTTCAATGGTTGTAGAATTGTCTTTAACGAGCTGTCGGCAAGGTTCACGTCGTTCAGCAACCGTGCCGTGGTAGTGGAAATACTTCATCATCTCGCCGGGCAACCAAGTGAAGTTGCCATCAAAGTTCTCCGACCTATGAACCCCTGTTGCATATACATTCTTTGGTTGTATTGCGTACTTTTGGTCTCTCCTCATTTCTTTCACATTTTTGTACACCAACTTCTCAAAACCCCATCTCCTGATAATTATGAAAATAGACATTTTTGTAACACATAAATTAAATGACTTATAGCCTTAACAACTCATTTCAATATAATTTTGTACTACGTATAAAATTTATATGTATGGTTGGTCCATGATTATTTTTAGTGAAAATGAAATAAACAAAACACTTAAAACAAAATTGCCTTGCGTATATAAACCAATTTCCATTTTGTCTTTTATTGTCCACCATGAATATTTATCAACAAAAAAAAACTAAGTCAAAGTTGAAATATTAACCTTGTTAAACGACGCCCTTATTTTACCTGGTAATGTCCGCATTTAAACATAAATGGACAAATATACCCTCAGGTGTATTCCATATTTTCTTCCCTGGCCACTAACTTAATCGTACATTCTCTCTTCCCAACAAACCACCACCAACTAAGGGCAAGGTCATTGGACACATCGCCGAAATTAAATCCTTTTTTTTTTTTTTGTGGAGGCCAAACGCCTAAATTTTTCAAAACTCTAGGGGGAAAACGCCTAGAATTTTCAAAAGTCCCTAGGAGATTCGAAAATTTTAGGCGTTTCCACTTGTAGAATTTTTCATTTTTTTTGCGTTTTTTGTTTTTAACATAACTTTTGATCCAAAACTCAAATTAAGACAAATAATATATCGTTGGAAAGCTCTAAAAGTCTATTTTCTAACCCAATTAGAATCATATCAATATAATTTTTAGATCTTAAGATATGGCTACAATACTAAGTTTGGTCCAAAACCAACACCCTTACACTATTTTGATCATATCTTAAGATCTATAAATGATATTAAATTGATTCAAATTGGGTTGGAAAGTAGACTTCTAGAGCTTTCCAACGATATATTAATTTTTTTAATCCAAGTTTCAGATCAAAAGTTATGATAAAAACAAAAAACAAAAAGAAACTGGAAAATTCTACGGGATAAAACGGCTAGAATTTTCGAATCACCTAGGGACTTTTGAAAATTCTAGGCGTTTCCCCCCTAGAGTTTTGAAAAAATTAGGCATTTGGCCTTCACAAAAAAAAAAAAAAAAACGACTTTAATTCTGACAATGTGTCCAATGACCTTGCCCTCGATCAGTGGTGGTTTGTTGGGAGAAGAGAATGTTAGATTGAGTCATATTTAAATGTTGGCGTTACCTGGTAAAATAAGGGCGTCATTTAGCTTGTCACAAATTATTTATTTATTTATTTATTTTTGACATTGACTAATCTTTTATTAACATCAAGTAATGCATGATTTTATAGTGTGTTTCCAATTTAACACAAATTTTGCTAAATTTTCCTATTTCATAATCCAATTGAGTTAGATTTGCTAAATATTTGTCTAATACGTAGCTTAGTATAATGAATTGATTGTCTAATTGTTATTGAGTAAGTTTCCGATATCTAAAAATGAGCCCTAAATTTTTGAATACAAGATTTCCCTTACGATTGATGGGTTGCGTGCTAAAAGAACTTACACTCACCTTTTTTTATCTACTATGTATTTATTATGATTTTAAAAGATATGGAGTATCATTATTTTTTTAAAAAAGAAAGTACTTTAATTATTGCATGCTCTAATTCTACGGGGTTCTTTCCCATGTGTTCCCAATAAAAGGTTCGTTTAGCAATAATGTAAGCATGTTTGTGGTATGATTGAATAGTATATAGATTTGAATAATCGCACACGTCAATTTCAAATTAGTTATCACCAACTCAACCTAAATACGAAGTATCAACATCAAACAGCAAATTAAAATGTGCATGTATGTCACGCACCACATATATTATATACTTGCATCATTTGTATTTTGTTGTATTATTCATTTATTCCTTTTTATTTATTACCAACCAACAATATAATCAAGAGTTGAATTAAGGATCGAGAAAATTGATATTATTAATACCTACTTTAGGTCATTTACTTTCATTAATCCTAATTATTGATTATTACAAAATAATTTCAATTTTCGAAGTATTGACTTTCATTAATCCCAAACCTGTAATAGCAGGTCACTTGCCATGCGTTAACACACTATAGGGTCTTAAAAAAAAAAAAAAAAAAAAACAAAACAAACCCAACGAGACACCCCCAACCGCTGATCTACCATCCAAGCCATGACTCCGGCCGGCCACCCTCACTACTATCCCCTGCGCCAGTTTCCCCCCTCCTCCCCACACCGGTGCTGCGACCCCTTCCCCCACCACCCTCCTTTCCTTTTCCGGCACCCTCCAACAACTGAAACTCTCTAAACCCACCTCCCTCACTCCACTTCCTCCACAGCTCCACCATCAAAACTCCTTTAAAAGTTAAAACTACCTCCCGCACCCCCGAAAACCTCCAAACACCCCTCCCCCACCATTGAAAACCCTAGCCGCTGGGGTTTCGGGGTAAGGGAGGGGCGGTTTGGTGTTTTTGAGAGTGGGGGAGGGGTTTCCTTGGTTGTTGCGGGAATGTAAGGGGGTTTTGGGTTCTTGGGAAGGGGTTTGGGTTGTGTGGTTCATCGGGATGAGGTAGGTTGTCGGCTGCATTACCGGTTGAGGGTGGCGGTGATTGCAGGCTGGGAGGGAAGAGTTTTCAGATTATGTTTTTTTAAAACAGAATTTTTAATTTTTTTGGCCATGCATTTAAAAGGTGACATGTGGCAATATAAAAAATAAGAGTTTACCTTTTCATCCGTCACTGATCATTTGGACCTGATAAAAGTTAATACCCTCTAAAGTTGGAAATATTCAGAAATAATCGATAATGGATTAATTATAATAAATGGGTTGAGATTAATAATATTAATTTTTCCAAAAGGATTTAATTTGTAAATTTAATGATTGGAGTGATCATGACTACAGCTCTATTATATGGTTCAATTCCAGTCAAAAAACAACAAAAATAAAAACATCATATACGTTGGCTAATTATTGGAAGGCATGCAAAATCTTTATAATATTAGTAAAAACATTTAAGAAGAGTTATTAAAATAATTATTACCGAATTAAGAACACCACCATTAAATTTGAAACCGTTTTTTCACCGTATACCCTTAAGTTTTTTGTTTATTCACCATATATCCCTGAACTTTTGTAATTAATCATATACCTTCGAGTTCTTAAAAAAATATATCATATATCCTTGATGACTAATGATTGTTAACTTCGTCAATCATTAGGGTTAATTATGATCCGAAACTACCTTAAACACATTTTTCCACCCTCAAAACCACCCCAAATTTCCTTTTCTCATCCTCAAAATCAATCATACAAATATGGTTATGGAGATTTGGAGTGGTTTCGGGAGTTAGAGAAAGGAGGGGAGTGGTTTCGGGGGTTAGAGAAAGGAGGGAAGTGGTTTCGGGGATGGGGGGAGAGATCTAAGGTGGTTTCGATGCATAATTAACCAAATTTCACTCATCTTATTATCATTAGGGGTATACGGTGAATTTTTATAACAACTCAAGAATATATGATGAATTTGAAATTTTTTAAGGTATATGATGAATAAATAAAAAAACTCAAAGGTATACAGTGAAAGTATCGAATTTGAAATGACTTGACATGAAGGTCCAATGATTATCATGAATTCATGGTCATGCTAATTCAACTCGATTCAAATATGAATAATCAGTCTTGTCAAAGCTCACACACTTTTTTTTGATAACTCTGAAGGTTTACTAATCCAATCCTACATACTCCCTCTTGTTTATTTAGATTTTTTTTATAGCCCCATTTAATTGTGCATCTTTGTCTATGCACATTTTATACTACTTAATGTTTTTTATTACTCTCTTTATTTCTATTTGTTAGTCTCATATACTATTTTGGACATTTTAATAAGATCTACCCATGTTGAATGTATTCTATTTTTAACTTAGTTTTTTTTTCCTATTTTATACATATTAAATTCTTATTGATTAAATTAATGGATTGTTGATTGATGACATGACTCTATGCAAGGAAATTCCTCCTAGAATTATGCAATTATGGCTAATACTTTCCAAAAAAACAAAAAAAACAAAAAAAAAACAAAAAAATTAAATAAGACAAACTAATTATGAATTATTTTCGTACTTTAATATTAGATTCTAAATATTGTTCTTTTCTTATTTTATGTGATTGATTTCATATGAGACTATCATATAGAAACAGAGGGAGTATTTATAGTAATTTTGTTAAATTTTTTTTTTAATAAAGCATCTATTAAGATTTAAGATGAATCAAACAAGACCATGTACGCTCGACTATATTTTTTCTTGTATATACATTGAAAAAATTTGTAGAAGGATCCTTAAATTGTGATTGCAAGATTATAAATAAGATCATCAAAGGGTGGAATATAATAAATTTACTAATGCTTTTGGCTCCTTACACAAACCAAGAACATCGTACTTACATTAGACCAGGCAATCTAGCATAATGATTTCTAGCCTCCCACGCCTTAAAATGTAGCTTATGCTAAGCTAAACCAATTAAATTAGTTTAATCATGATTAATCTACCTCATTACCCTCATAAAAAACTGTCTAATTGCTTATCATAGTTCACTATTAAAAGCTATCTATTCCTATTTGATCTGTATACATTTAATTTTTTTTTATATCCATTTATAATTAACTATTTGATCTCATTTCAAATTCCTTATATTTTCCTATTTATTAAAAATTTAGTAGTAACATTTCAATCCTAGGTAATTTTGTAGTAAAAGTCTTTATTAAAACAACAAATCTCAGAAATCAACCAAAAAAATAACAGAATAAAAAACCAGCAACTGAAATAAACATACCTATGAAATTGGCCAGCATCTTCAGTAAGGCAGAGTCGATCAGACATAGAAACCTGCTCAAAATTGAACATAGTATAATCGTTGAGCAACTCCATGATCGAATCAAGAGACGAATTCCCTGATAAATAAATATACTCATCAACATCAAAGAAGAACATCCATTTCGTAGCGAAACGATGTCTATGCAAACAGTCATTCAGAACAAGAATCTGATTATGATAAAACGTATCGAATCTCTCTTGATCTTTAACATCGTGCACGGTAACAAACCCGAGTTCAATCCATGGTTGTAACACGTCCATTACTTCAGGGTGGATACCCCCTGCATCATAGAACACGAAATGGGATTTCGTACCGAACAATCTCACGTGGTAAGCGATCCACTCGCGTATTCTCTGAGGACTGAGGTCGCCGAACAATGAGCTTCCGCAGTAGAGGTAGTCGTATTTTGGAACAGAGGAAAATTGAGAAGGTTGCCATGAGCTAGGGAGCTCGTTTAAGGCTATGATCGTGTCGGTTGAGTTAACGACACGATCATAGCCGCCGTTTGTTGAAGCATGGAAGAGAAGACGGCCACCAATAGAAGGGTCGGTATCTGAAGGGAATGTACAGTTCACGACTACTAGTACATACATTCGACCGTAACCAAAGTCATCAAGAGGAAGCTTATTACCCGGAACTATCATAACAGAACCATTATTGTATTGGTATTCACAAGTGTATGTTGGATTACCGAAGGTCTGAAGGGGTTTCGAGGAGAGTCCTAACACAGCAAAGGTGTTAGGACCACCGCGGTAGGCTGACATAAAGATGAAGTTGTACGCAGCTGTACCGACAGGGTAAAACGATCGTTTTATGACCCCGTTTTCAAGCGTGTGATCTGAGGGTTGTTGGGGTGGTGGTGAAGTGGTGGCAGTGGCGATGTTGGAGGTGGTGGGGCAGAGTGTGACATAAGTGGTGAAGGGAGAAAATCGGGTGGGTAGAAATTGAAAGAGGGTGGCGACGGCGCAGAAGAAGAGGAGGGCGGTAACGATGAGCTTGAGCTCAGGTGCACAGTTGTACCTTAACAACATTTTACAGGTTATGGTTATTCTCTATGACTCTTTCCCATTTGATGTTGAAGAAAAAGTTGATCATTCAAACAAAGTGGGTAGGGAATGGAGTAAGAGTAAGGAACTTTGTTGGTTCCCCCGTCTATTTTGGAGTAGCATTTTTTATGTTTGATATTCGGACAAAGTTTGACAAACAAGAGATACGGAGTATTAGATTATTGTCTTAGGTCACCTGGAAAGGGAGACCTGCTTATTATTATTATTATTATTATTATTATTATTATAGTTGTTGATATACTAGTAGTTGTTGTCATCATCATCATCATCTTTTTTTGTTCTAATTATTATTATTATTATTATTATTGTTATTATTATTATTATTATTATTATTATTATTATTATTATATATCAAAAACAGACAAAGTTATATAACTTACAATAAATTAGTGGGAAGCCAAGATACAATCTGGCCCCCCACTTTTTTAGCTATAGCAAAGCCTACCCTGGTGAAGATATAAGCTGTAGCACGAGCCCCAATGTCTTGCGTCATCGAGAATCTCTAAACCCGCTTCAACAACGCAATAACCTCCTTCTCTAATTCCCCAAGCGAAGAAAAGGAGAAGGGAATGAAACCATATCCAATTTGCCGACAACTAGCTTCATACTTCACCCGCTTCCGATGAGCCGCATCAGCCACAACCTGTCCAGGAATAAAGTCAGATAGCCCTGTCTGTGTCAAAGGAGAAGACCCAATTAAGTCCACACATTCATCTTGACCACGATCCCAGGAATAAAGTAACACATCAGCAGGTCTGAGGGCCTTGTCATTCCCGCCAGACAACCCTATGTCAACCTCCTTTCTTACTGAAATCTCAGATCTGTAGCAGATATCAACAAGGGTATCCCGGAAAACATTATGCCGATGTTTAATACTCACAATACCAGCACACGACACCGCGTGATCGCCGAAAATATCCCCAGTAAAAACCCGAGAACAAGTAGAGCACGGCGTCGAGATAGAGAACAATGGAACACCCATCCTGTAGCGCAGCACAACGCACATCGGTAGGTCTTTGCGTTCATCTTCTGACCCAACCCAGAAATAGGGACTGCCCGAAGCCAAGCAGAGGTGTGATCTCCCTGCTGCGATTTCCACAGTGCTGATTTCCGGGGAGACAAAGAATAGGCGGATTCTGCAGGATCGGTAACCTTTGTGAAATATATATCTGCTAATTTCTTCATGAGTTTAGGGGCAGCGACCTCACTAGGATTACTCATAATGTCAGACTCCACTATTCCATTAAATAGATTCAATGCATCTCCAAAGGCTCGTCCAAGACCAACAATGCCAGCATGCCGTAAACCCGTGTCTACAACCCATTCATGACTTTAGGGGCAGCGACCTCACTAGGATTACTCATAATGTCATACTCCACTATTCCATTATACAGATTCAATGCATCTCCAAAGGCTCGTCCAAGACCAACAATGCCAGCATGCCGTAAAAGCCGTGTCTACAACCCAGCAGACTGTAACCGAGAAGCAAGAAAAGCATATAATCTACAAAAAATTAGTGGGAATCCGAGATACAATCTAGCTTAGGCACCCACTCCTTAAACTATAGCAAAGCCAATCCTATTATTATTATTATTATTATTATTATTATTATTATTATTATTATTATTATTATTATTATTATTATTATTATTATTATTATTATTATTATTATTATTATTATTATTATTATTATTATTATTATTATTATTATTATTATTATATTATTATTATTATTATTATTATTATTATTATTATTATTATTATTATTATTATTATTATTATTATAGAAAAATAACAAAAACCTACAAAGTCAATTGATTTACAAGAAATTAGTGCGGAACCGAGATACAATCTGGGCCCCCACCTCTCTAGCTATATCGAACTCGATCCTGTTGAAGATATGAGTAGCTGCACGAGCACCAATATCCTGAGTCCTAGCAAACGCCTGAACCCGCTTCAGCAACGCAATAACATCCTTCTCTAATTCCCCCAATGAAGAAAAGGAGAAAGGAAGAAAACCATAGCCAATTGCCCTGCAACGCGCCCCATACTTGTCCCGCTTCCGCTGAGCTGCAGCCGACACAACACGACCAAGAACAAAGTCAGACAACCTAGATTGAGTCAAAGGAGAAGGCCCCGTCAAGTCAACACATACATCAAGACCTCTATCCCAGGAATAAAGCAACACATCTGTTGGTCGAAGAGCCTCGTCGTTCCCTCTCGTCAACCCAACGTTAACCTCCTTCCTTGCAGATATCCCAGAGCGGAAACAAATATCAACAAGGGTATCAAGAACAACGTTGTGCCGATGTTTAATATACCCACCATCCCAGCACAAGACACTGCATGATCCCCATAAATATCCCCATCAAAAACCCTAGAGCAAGCAGAACACAGAGTCGAAACGGAGAACAAGGGAACACCCAACCAGTAGCAAAGAACACAACGGTAAGTCTTACCATTCATAGTCTGACCCAAACCTGATATCGGGACCGCTCGCAACCAGACAGATGTGTGATCCCCCTGCTGGGACTTCCATAAGGCGACCTGACGCGGAGATAAGGAGAAAGTGGATTCTATAGATGCAGTGACCTTCGTGAAATATATATCTGCCAATTTCTTCATGAGGTTGGGGGAAACGATCTCACTAGGGTTACACAAAAGGTCAGTCCCCACAATCCTATTAAAAAGACTAACAACGCCATCGAAGGCCGGACCTGGACCATCAATACCAGAATTGCGAAGAAGCGAAGTCTGAAGACCAGAAGACTGCAAACGCGACGCAAGGAAAGCATAGTGTCGAACATCACCCACTGAATAGACACCCAATCCACCATAAGAAAAAGGTAAGGTGGCAAGTTGCCATTGCCAATCACCAAAACCTGGCCCTGAAGCAGTTACAATGCGCTCCAAAGAACCTCGAAGGGCCACATCAAAAGAAACCTGGGTCGCTTCAAAAATACGAGGAGGACACGTACGCATAGAAAAGTAGAGTTTTGAAACCCCAGTACACGCACGAAGTAGTAACAACTCACATTGGGGATCTTCAAGCTTAGCAACAGCATCCATGAGCACAATGGTCTTCGACACTCTCTGCGAAACAATCTCACCACAGAAAGAGGCATCCGCACTGACAGGACCACCAAGCAACTTAACACCATGAACAGGACGAGCATTATCTGGAGGATAGACACCGGCCAAACGGGTACGTGGGTCCTCCGTGGGCCAGAAAACTTCCGTTTTCTCAACGTTAACATGGAGGCCGAGACAAGGTCCCTCCACCAAAATCAACTCCATGACCTTCCCTACCACCAAGGTGTCACCAATAATAGTGTCATCATCCAAGTACCAAGCCTGCAAACATAAGTCGAAAGAATCCCTAATTCGACAAACCAACGGATGGAGCACCAAAGCAAAAAGCAAAGGGCCAAGAGGATCACCCTGCTGCACATATTATTATTATTATTATTATTATTATTATTATTATTATTATTATTATTATTATTATTATTATTATTATTATTATTATTATTATTATTATTATTATTATTATTATTATTATTATTATTATTATTAGTATTATTATTATTATTATTATTATTATTATTACTACATATAAAAAACAGACAAAGTGAAACTACAAAAAATTAGTGGGAAGCCGAGATAAAATCTAGCTTAGGCACTCACTCCTTAAACTACAGCAAAGCCAATCCTAGTAAAGTTATGGGCAGCAGCACGTGCTCTAATGTCTTGCGTCTTTGAGAACTTCTGAACCTGTTTCAGCAGTGCAACAACCTCCTTCTCTAATTCTCTGAGAGAAGAATTAGAAATACATTTGACCCGCTTGACACCTAACTTCATATTTGACCCGCTTACGATGAGCCACATTAGTCACAACTCCCCGGGAACAAAATCAGACAACCCAAATTGAGTCAAACCTGCCAAGTCAACATAGACATCGCGACCCCGTTTTCAAGAATAAAGTAACACATTTACAGGTCTAAGGATCCCATCATTCCCCCTCCGACAACCCAATGTCAGCGTCCTTTTTTGCTGAAATCCTAAACCTACAACAAACATCAACAAGGGTATCTTGAACAAGATTTGCCAATGTTTAATATCCACAATATCAGCACACAAAACCGCATGATCACCAAAGATATCCCCAGCTAAAACCCTTGAGCAAGCATAACATGGAGTCGTAGTAGAGAATAAAGGAACATCCAACCGATAACACAACACACAACAATAAGTCTTAGCATTCATCGTCTAACCTAACCCCGAAATAGTGACCACTCCCTCTGTCCCTCAGTAAAGTTCCAATTCTAAAAATCAAGGATATTAAGAAAAGGAATGAGGAAGTGTGTGAAAGATAAATTCCTAATCATATGCAAAAAAGTAGAGATCAAGAGAAATGATACTTTTTATTTAAAGTACCTGTAAAAAAACTTTGGATTTTCTTTCTTTTACCAATAACTAATAACTAATAACATTGTAGCAAAAGGAGTAATCCAAGTGATTTCTTAATAGCCAATAAAATTAGACAATACATTTACAACAACCAATAAAAAAATATTCACTAATTGGTGACTAAGCACAATAAAAAAAGAAAGGAAGTTTAAATAAGAATTTCTTCCATTATTGCATTAAAACACAAAGGACTTATTCAATTTTCAGAGCTAAGTAACATAGTGGATAAGTTACTAATAAAAAAATTTACCTTGTCTAAAAAAATAAATAAATAAATTCACTAACATCATTCATTGTCTGCATTTTCATGGCTTCAGGCTTCAATTATGATTTAAATGCTACTTTAGATGAAAATGTTGATGATGGGAGTATTAAAACTTAACAAGACATGTTTGAACACGTTTTCAATGCTTCTTATGAACCTAATGAAGATAGATATGGGTCAATAGATAACCATTATGTTGCTGAAATAGACCTCAATCAAATTCAGATTAATTCCGTCAACTGAAGGCATGCATGGGTACAACAAAACAACAAGCCTCTACTCATCAGCAACAACAAACAATCAGCAATAGGAGGGAGCAATGAACTTAGATCAGCAAGCAACAAATAATTAGCAGCATTAAGAGGAAGGTCATCACAAGCAGAACTAGCTCAATAGTGGGACAAGTTCAATGTCCTATAATGG